GCGGCTTATATACAAGAATACCGCATATCTAGTAACCTCTCGAGGCTTCAGGAAGGGACGTGAACGTTTCGAGAATATGACGTGTTATTAGGGTCAAGTGACCACCGCTGTCGTAACAATATCTTGTACCCCTTTAACAAGGCTAATTTAAATCTACAATAACCAAACATATGCTGTACCGTTAACAAGGCTAATTTAAATCTACAATAACCAAACATATGTTGTACCTTTAACAAGGCTAATTTAAATCTACAATAACCAAACATATTGTTACATCTCCGTTTGTTAATTAATTTTGCGTAACTTCGTTCCGACGAAACTTTAGCGACACAAGTCCTTACTTAATAAAACTGGTTTATTCTTTATGAATATAACTTTACGATACACTTAATTTCAACATTCGCGCTAAAACAAACGCTATAACGAACGTTAATTTCAACAATACTCTCTGACTGCAGATCAATCACTCACTACCTACACACATTGTCCCGTCACGTTATGACCATCCTATATATACCAGACTACTCCCAATCTAGTAAATGCTACGGCATTCACGAAGGAACAGGATATTTCTAGAAAGCAGGTGGCGTGACACTAGTCACGTGACCTCGCTGACACAACAATATGTTGTACCTTTAACAAAGGTAATTTGAATTTTACAATAACCAAAATATATGTTGTTCCTTTAACAGGGCTAATTTTAATTCTACAATAACAAAAACTGTGTTGAACCTTTATCAAGGCTAATTTTTATTCTACAATAACCAAACATCTGTTGTACCTTTAACAAGACTAATTTTAATTCTACAATAACTCAATCTGTGACGTACCTTTAACAAGGCCAATTTTAATTCTACAATAACATAACCAAAACAGTGTTGTACATTTAACAAGACTAATTTTAATTCTACAATAAGTAAAACATATGTTGTACCTTTAACAAGGGTAATTTTAATTCTACAATAATCCACTCTGTGCCGTACTCCTTTAACAAGGCTAATTTTGATTCTACAATAACCAAACATGTCGTGTACCCCTTTAACAAGGGTAATTTTAATTCTACAATAAGTAAAACATATGTTGTACCTTTAACAAGGCTAATTTTAATTCTACAATAACCCAATCTGTGCCGTACTCCTTTAACAAGGCTAATTTTGATTCTACAATAACCAAACATATCGTGTACCCCTTTAACAAGGGTAATTTTAATTCTACAATAACAAAAACAGTGTTGAACCTTTAGCAAGGCTAATCTTTATCCTACAATAGCCAAAACATATGTTATACCTTTAACAAGGCTAATTTTAATTCTACAATAACCCAATCTGTGACGTACCTTTAACAAGGCTAAGTTTGATTCTACAATAAGTAAAACATATGTTGTACCTTTAAAAAGACTATTTTTGATTATACAATAACCAAACATACGTTGTACCTTTAAAAAGACTATTTTTGATTATACAATAACCAAACATACGTTGTACCTTTAAAAAGGCTATTTTTGTTTCT